GCCAGCTTTGACTCGGAGGAGGAGGAGGAAGGCCCGGTTCCGGTTCTGCGGAGAGAAGAAGAGTGCTTTTAGCAGGTCGGAGGAAACACACGGGCCCTCGATTATTTGCAGGAGAGATCCCTCGTTCCTTTTCCGAACATTTCATATCCACGAGACATCGCTGGGCCACGGAGCCCTCCACACACCGACGGCGAGGCCCCCGGGGGGCCATCCGACAGAAAGAACCACATTTCTAAACATGCACAGATCGGATCGGCTGGGCCGGACAGCAACGCATATCGTGGAACCTCCTTATGTGCGGGATCGGCGTCCACGGACTCGTCCGCTTAGAAAGAGTCGCCAACCACGTACATATAGTGTTTGCTATTCTAAGAGCATTGGTTATAAGCTCCCTACCATTGCGCTCACTTCCATCTTTAAAAATATAAGGTATATTTCTAAGATTTTCCTTTCAATCTTTCCAAACTTCTGAGACCGCGGAGAAGCGAATCAGCGGATACCGATACCGCGGATATGGGGGGATGCTACGGCCTTTCCACATCTCCCAGTGCGAGCAGGATGCCTTACCCGTCTGAGGTCGGACGGCAGGAACCGCCGGTTCGGCCGGGTTCGCCGCCCCGAGTCCCACGCTGTGGATGAGGGATCCCGGAACTTGAGACCCGTGCACCGCGGGGTTATTGCTGAGAGAGGAAGATCCGCCCCCGCAGTCCGAGTCCTCGATGTTCCCGCCGCTGTTACAACCGGCCCCGCAGCCTTTCTGCAGCCTGTCGGGGGGGAAGAAGAAAAAAAGAATCAGGCAGAGCTTTCAGGCGGCAGAAATGCAGTTGCAGGCTTCGCCTCCTTCCTCTTGGCAACGTGCCGTTGGCGTCTTCCCCTTCCTGGCTGAAATAAGCGCTTTGGGGCAAATAACAAAACACAAAATTAAAAAAAAACATTCTGGTGAAAAACAAAACAGAAAAAAAAGCTCCTGATGGATCAACTAATAGCGTTAATACAGTAGATCCCCACTATCTGCTGATTCACTTATCTGCAGGCTGAAAATTCTAAATTAAAAAACGCAAGATACCAACCTGTCTGGGGCTTTTCGCACCATAAGACACACTTTTTCCCCACAAAACAGGGGGGGTGGAAAGTCTGTGCGTCTTATGGAGCGAAGAAAACAGATTATATTTTCCTGTTTTCTTCTCCTAAAAAAATTGGTGCGTCTTATGGAGCGAAAAATATGGTACTTATTTCCATGATGTATTTAACAGAACTGGCCAACAGAGGGAGCCAGAGGCCATGCAATGCATAGCATTTAATTATTTCCACCGGTTTCAACATCTGCAAAAGGGGGGGGGGAGGCTTGGAACCGATCCCCAGCCATTATTGTGGCATTCTCTTGTAATAATAATAATATGGTTGCTTTGGCTATCCCGCTTTTCCTTTACTGAACCCGGAGTGGCGTACCTGGCTCTCCTCCTTCCCATTGTAAACTCACAGCAATAACCTTACAAAGTAGGTGAAAAAGAAAAAAAATTATATATTTGCTTATTTAACATATTTTGATCTCACTGTTCTCCTTAAGAAGGACTGAAAGCGGTTGACATCATTAAAAGAATATTTAAAGCCTAATAACAGTCAGGATATAGATGCTAAAAAAGGATCAAACACACACACACACACACACAAGGGGGGAAAAGTGACACCAAAAACACGCATTCCAAGCAGTACAGCACAAACCACCCATTTAAAAACCCCACTCAGGCAGCCCGTCACAAGAGAAAGGGTTTTGCCTGCTTGAGGAAGGCCAGTCAAGAGGGAGCCAGCGGGGGCCTCCAGTGGCAGGGAGTTCCAATGACCCGCCCCCATGTCGCTGAACGAACTTCGCGCCGGAGGAGGGGAACTCACAGAGGGGCCCGCTTTCCGCATCCAGTTTTAAACCCAAAATATAAAGGGCGGAAGGGCTTCCGTGTGGCCGATGGCGCGAAGGGGAGCCCCTTTCTGGCGGCTCTTACCTCTCCCAGCTGTGCATGAACCACGCCGAGAGGTTCTGCAGGCTGACCGGGCCCCCCCACAGCGAGCGCAGCTGGGGGTGCCCGCCGGCGTACGAGGTGGTCAGCGGGGAGACGTAGATGGGGTACCCGATGGGCTGGTCGCAGGAGGAGTTGATCATGTTCCGGAGGGCCTGCTTGGCGTTCTGGATGCTGCCGCGCTCCGGATTTCGGTTCCGGAGGAAGACCAGCTCTTGCTGCTGCCCGGCCCACAGGCCCCGCACGCACTCCCGGTTCACCTGGAATGGGGGGGGACAGAGGTTGGAGGGAGAGGAAGGGGCGGGGGAAAGGAGACAGGTGTGTCATGCTGTGACACGAGGACGGAGAAGAGGTTGCAGGTCTGCCGGACCCCCCCACACACACACGGGAAGGGAAGGAAGCTCGGCCGAAAGGGAAATCCATCCGTGCGTTCATTTATAGTAGCACCTCCTTATCCACGGGGAATGGGTCCCAAGCCCCCCCCGCGGATGCTGAAACACGCGGACTCTAGCAAACGCCGTTATAATAGGGACTGCTATGCATCTGGCTCCCTCTCGCGGCTGGTTCTTGGAACGTCATATTTAGAAATAAACGTTTCTAGGATCCTTCTTATAATTTAAATATTTTCAGATGGTGGGTAAGTAGCTTTGCTCTCTGGCTGGGGAGTCAGAGGCTGGGAGTTTGAATCCCCACTGGGCCTCTCGGGGGGGGGGGAAGAGCCAGCCTGGGTGGCTTCGGGTCCATTGGACTCCGTCCCAGGGCTCCCCCTGGAAAGGAAAAGGGAAACCACTTCTATGTACGGTGTCCCCCTTTATCCACAAGGTTCAGTACCTGCTGATTCATTCATCCAAGGTCCGGAAATATTAAAAACACTAAAAGGAAAATCCCCCAAATATATTTTTAACCATGATGTTAGCAGGACTGGCCACTAAGGGGACCGAGATAGTGTTCCTTGTTTTCTCACATCCGCAGAGGATGTGGAAACTGATTCCCCGCGGATACGGAGGTTCTAATCTATAAGTTCACTAGAGAAATAACAAGTCTATTTTCCATGATGTCATTATCAGACCCAGCCACGAGAGGGAGCCAGAGACCATGCAACATAGTAGAGCATTCGCTATTATAAAAGTGTTTGCTCTCATCCACGTTTCCCAGTATCCGCGGCAGGGAGAACGGCCACCGGGGCGAAAGAGGGGAAGGCCGGGAGCGCCCACCTTGATGACCCGGAACCCGAGGTAGCGCTTGTTCAGCATGATGATCTTGTACTCGTCGCTGGCGTCGTCCATCACGTGACGCAGGGCCAGCAAGGAGGGGGTGTTGGTGAGGATGGCGCTCCGCCAGGCTGGGTCGCCCTCGTGGGAGATTACCATCTTCTCCTCGTTGGACCGGATGGCGTCGTACAGCACGGCCGGGTCGTCGTACTCGTCCGGGGAGGTGAAATGGTCCTTTAAAAAAACAGAGATGGCCGGAAAAAAGAGGCTGTCAAATATTGGAAAGGCAGCCGTCCAGAGGAGAGGCAGGATCCATCCCAGAGCGCCAAACACGTCGTAAAGGACTCCAGCGGCAGGAAGCCCGGTTTAGACTGAATACAAAGAATCACTTCTTAACCGTCGGAGCGGTACGACAACGGAATCGTGAACTGAAGGTGGATTGGGTGGAAGGGTGGCTGAACTCGAATTCTGTCCCCAGCGGCTGACCGGAAAGGCCCATGTCAGAGCAAGTGATCCCTTCCCCAGCTCAGAATCCAAGCCTCGAAAGAGCCACCGGGAGCCCTTCTCTGCCCCCCCCCCGGTCATTTTAAAGCCTTTTAAAGCCATGAAAGCTGGCCACCTATCCCTGGATTTTTTTTTGTGGAAGCCAATTCTAGGGGGTCAGCCGCCCTAGATGAAACCAAGCCCGGACTCTCTCTCTCTCTCTCTGGAGGCAAAAAAAATTTGAAACAGAGGCTGTTTTGTGATCGCAAAAATCTCATTGTAAAGCAGATTTGTCGTTTAACGAGGTAATCGTTAAGCGAGGCACCACTGTATTTCAATAAGCTGACTTGCAGCCACAAGGTGCCTGCAAAGGGGCCCCCTTTTAACATGTTCAACGCCGCCTGCTTTTCCCCAGTTAGGAAGGGACCTACCAGGAGGGGTGGAAAACCTGGGGATTGTGTTAAATATTAGCCCTAGAAGGTACCAAGTTTTTCTTTTTTAAAAACTGGAGCACCCAGTGGCCAAGGGGCCTCTGGAAGCGGCTTCCTTCTCTTGGATGTGAAACAGATCTTGGTTAAAAAAAATGAAATAAAAGCAAAGCGTGATGCTTCTATGCCACCCCACAGTGTTTTTAAAGCATCCTTTCTGTGGCTTGCACACAACGGGGAGTGTGCAAGGGGGGGCGAGCCCACCTGATGGAGCTTGAGGGACATGCGCACGCCGGGCGCCACCACCTGGTGGAGGAGGTCCATGTCGGCGAAGACCCATTCATCGCGGGGCGAAGTGATCCGGAAGTCGCCCTTGAAGAGGGCGTGCAAACCGTACAGGAAGGGCTCCAGGCTGCAGAGAGAGAGAGAGAGAGAGAGAGGCGTTCAGGCAGGGCTGCCCTGGAGACAACGTCTTGCAGGCAGCTGCCTAAATTCGAAAGCCGATCCCGATCCGGCCCCCTTCCCTAACGGCCCTGGTTCTTGCACCGGCGCAGCTAGAGGCTGGGGCGAAGGCCCTCCCCCTCCCACCCCGAGGCTGATCTCACCTGGCAGACATGCTGTGCGAGGCGGTGCCCAGCGCTCGCCGGCCCAGGATGCAAAGGCCGAAGCAGAGGGTGACGAGAGGCGAGTTCCAGTCTCGGTCCACGGGCTGCTAGGAGAGAACGGCGCGTTACTACCAGACCTTTTGCTCCTTCTCTCTGCCCGCTGAGATCGCTGATTTTTACAGCCCATTTAAGGGAATTAATTGCCCAAGAATGACCCGATTCATTCACTGCCTGCCGTCTGGTCAATTCTGGAATTATTTGGAAATATTAAAGGGGCTTCTGAGTAAATTCCTCTGATCTTACTATAAAGCAAACCAGGCCCCGAGTTTAGCACAGAAGAACAGAGTGCAACTGAACTAAAAACCACGAAAGGCCCCTGAGGCCAACCATCTTAGTTTTATTGCAACCTTGCTGGTTTCGCTGGGCTGGGCTGGCTGTCAATCAATTCAGCCCGGACCAATGGCCCCCGCCCTGCCTCGGAACTCAAAAGGGAGCCCCGCCTCTCTGCTCTGTGCCTCTTTCTTCTCTCTCCCGAGTCTGCTGGCAGGCCGTTCCGTGGCAATTCACGAAGCCCTTTAATGCCTTCTCTTGCTCACGTCTCGCAGGACGTAACTGAGACCATAAGTGCCAGTGGATGAAAAGGAAAGGGGTTGATTGGTTGACTCTGGGGAACCCGAACCTCATTGTACTCTGCGCGTGCCTGCCCTTCCGATGCGCAGCGAGAGAAATTTAACCAGAAATTCCAAACTCTGCAAAAGACGGCGAGCGAGCAAAGGACCTGGTCCCGGGTGCAAGGACCCAGACTTCCCAGCAGAGATTTAAGGCAACAGAAGCTGGCCACTCCCACTCATTGGCTTTCCCCTCTCCCCTGACGCACCTTCTCCCGGCGCCCGGCACAGTACTGGATCCAGTCCAGGTAGACGTTGCAGAAGGAAGCCAGGGTGATCCCCACCATGCGGTGGTCGTAGTCCTCGTCGATGTTGAGGTTGAAGGTGGGGTCGCTGTCGGCGTAGTTCAGGGAGGTGCAGGGCCGCAGCGCTTCCTGGATCCCCTCGTTACCCATCCACTCCTCCAACTTCGGAGAGCACGTCACATAGTAGATGATGCTCTGCCGGGGGGAGCATTGCAAGGGGGTGGGGTGGGGTCGGGAAGAGATGTGGAGGGGAAGGGGGCATTAAGATCCCAATAGACACCTCTTCCACCGTCGAAGGACTGGTCCATGAAAGCTTACATGAAAATATAGTAAGACTCCTGTATCTCTTGGGGGGGGGGGAGGAATTGGCTCCAAGCTTCCCCCGCAGATGCTGAAAACTTTTGATTCTAGCGAACGCTATTTTAATACCAAGTGCGATACATAGCGTGGTCCCTGGTTCCCTTTCGTGGCCTGTTCTGCTAATTCCCTTTTTAGAAATATATATTTCTAGAGCTTTTAATATTTTCAGGCTGTGGATAAGCAAATCAGTGGATACCGATCCCGTGGATAAGGGGGTCCTACTGTACAGCAATTAGTCTTTAAAGGCTAAACATGCTTCTGTCTTCTTTATTTGGGTGGGGAAGCGGTCGCTGGACCAAACAACCCCCCGACGTCTAACCGGCATAAGTCATAGCAGTGGCTGATGGGACTTGTAGTCTAATCTGGAGAGCCGCCACGGCCTCCCTACAGATCGTGGTTTCAGACTTGGCCCAGAAAGACTGGATTCAGGTCTGTCCTGGTTTCACTTGCTTTTCCCCCGAACATTTTTGACTCATGGCTCGCTTGACTCAGTGGCCACTGGCACAGCAGCTCCCGATTGGGATCCTTTGGGGTGGTGGGGGGAGAAGGGGAAGGAAAGACCACCTGAGTAGTACAGTAGGGCCCCCTACTTGCGAGATCGGTATCCACTGATTCACTTATCGGCTGAGTGAAAATATTAAATTCATATTTATACATATTTCTAGGGTGCATTTAGCACAACCGGCCACTAGGAGGAAGCAAACACCATGCAACATATAGCATTCGATACGGTACAGTAAGACCCCCACCACCATCCGAGAACAACGGTTTAAAAGGTCCACACGGACACTAAAAAAACCGTGGAATATAGTGGACAACCAGGTTCTTAAGAGTGGACTTTTGTGAAGTCACACAACGAGTGTTTCCTGCATGGGATTCATTGTAATAATAAATACTATGCCTAGCATAGTCTCTGGCTCCCTCTAGTGCCCAGTTTTGGTCATGACAACATGGGACATATTTCCCTAGCAAATCCTTAGCCTGGTCTCTGGCTCCCTCTAGTGCCCAGCTCGGGTAACAGCTTCATTGTTAAAAACCTATACATTCGGCGTTTCTCTTTTCAGACCGTGGAAAAGCGAATCAGCAGATACCGATGCTGCAGATAAGAGGGAATCACAGCCATAAGGGGAGGAAAGAAAGAGGGGTGAACCCCTGAGAGACCCCGTCCTGAACGAAGGGTCAGCCCCCAGAAGCCCCGAGCTCACCTTGACGTAGTAGGTGATGAGGATCTTGCGCAAATCGAAGACCTGGAGCATGGAGGCGGCGTTGTTGTCGCTGATGCTGTAGCCTTCGAGAACGTACTTGGTGGCCGCCACCTCCCAGGCGAGCCAGCGCTGCCCGAAGGCCGCGTTGAAGCTCAGCATGTGGGGCAGGTGGCCCGGCTCACAGCAGCAGCAGCCCTCGTCCTCCTCCACCCCTTCGGTGATGGCCTCCACCTCTCGCTGCTGGCAGTAGGTGCCTGGGGAAAAAAAAGGACGCGCCCGCCCGTGAGTCTGCCGGTGGGGATCCCAGGCTGCTGTAGACCCTGGAGGGTAAGGGGGTCCCAGAATGGATCTCCAGTTCTGGCTCTGGAAGGCACTGGGAAGACTGGATTCTCTTCCCCCCCCCAGTCAATGTAGAAATGGGGACACCCCATATCTGCAGGGAAACGGTTCCACGCCAACCCCCAGCAGAGGCTGAAAAATGCAGAACGCTGTTTTAATGAAAAATGCTATGCAGTGCATGGTCTCTGGCGCCACCTCATGGCCAGTTCTGGTAATGGCATGATGGCCATCTATTTCTCCAGCGAACGCTATCCTGTGCTTCCAGGGGGGAAAAACCCTCTTTTTGAACTTAGAAATCAGGGTTGTTGCTTTTAGAAGCCTTCAGTGATGCGTCCCTTCCTTCTGGGTCCTTGCAGAAAACCCTCAGCGGGAGAGCCAGGAGGAGCAGTATTAATCCGTGGTTTCCCTTCCTAGCAAAAGGAACCGTCGGCTTGGTTCCTGGGCTCACACCGAGGAACGGCGGTGATGCCCAAACTGTGGCGGGGCAGGAAAAATGGTCACCCGTTGGCCGGAGATGGCCTACCCCATTTTTAGGTCAAGAGCCCCCTAGTTTTACAGCAAACCCCCTGGTTTTAGAGGGAGAACGCCCTATGGAATTTCAGCCGTACCATCTGGGCTGGGCCGGGTTTCCCCTCCGCTGAGACACTCACCACGAAATTCCAGGCCTCGCAGTTGGAAGGTGACCAGACCGTTGCCGATCTCAATGAGGTGCACCAGGGCGTTCAGATAGTCGGACGCCAGGATGAAACAATCTCCGGTGGTGTAATTGCCCCATCGCCCCAGCAGAAGGTCCCCGCAGAGAGTGTGCTGCAGGGAACGCGTGAGGTGCTCGTAGAAGATGGAGTTCAGGTTGTTGTCATCCGCACCTGCCAATACACACACACACACGCACAAAAATATACACAAATCCAGACATTGCGGGCAAAAGACGTTTTAATGGTTGAAGAAACCATTTAAGGAGAGACCGTGAGAGCAATTTACACTTTAGTCTCGTCAAGCCTGTGCGCTGGTTAGGGAAGTCCACCATCTAGTGACTGAGGATGGTACTGCAGGCTTCAAACTCCAGAGATGTTTAAATTTACTGTGGGTCTTTTCTGCTTCCTTACTAGCAATACGTACATGCTTTGACTGCTTTAATTGACAGCCAGGTACAGATGAGGAAGAGCATAGCGATTTATAGTAACGAAGGGAACTGTTTGTCTGAGGCACAGGTTCAAAACCAGGGAATCCAGACACCTGAAACTTGGCATGTCTATGGCAAGGAACCCTAGGAGGGTTTTTTTGTGTGGTTATTTGGTTTCTAAAATTCATCAGCTCATAATAAATTTGAGCATCTCTTAGTCTGAAACCTGCAGTACCATTGTCAGTCACTAGATGGTGGACTTCTCCAACCAGCACATAAGCTTGCATGTTGATACAGTTTGATGCTACAGGGCGGTAGCTGGAGGAACAAAGGTATATGGATTGGCATTTCCACCCTGCTTATACTTTTATAACTGGGGGAGGAAGCTGATTAATATGCATCCCACCCCGCACGAAGATCTCCACTTGCAGGTATGACCTTAAAACACACCTGGGTTGCGGTCCAGCTGTGTGGCCAGTCGCGTGTTCGAGTGATCCACTCTCTTGGTGCTGAAGAGAAGGGACGACACAGGTTAAATGTATACACATGCAAGAATCCTGCAAGGCCAGTTCAGGACATAAACCGCTCGGTGTCGATGCTAAAACAAATCCAGCTCTGAGCCTCATCCACTAACTCGTCACTTACTTATAGTCCCGTTCCCAGAACTTGACGGGGCGAGCGTACGACATGACGAAGACGGCGCTGCCCAGGAGGGGGTTAAGAGGGGTGGAGAAGAGGGCAGAGAGAACAGCCTGGACAAACAGCATCGCTGAATCTGGGCACAACAGTGGTCAAGGAAACACCGGCACCGTGTTTAAAAACAAAACAAAAGCTTTATAAGAAATACGTGTCTCCCAAGGTGTGTTACCAGAACCAGCCGCTAGAGGGAACCAAAGACTATGCTATATAGAGAGTTTGTGATATCCACAGTTTCTGGTATCTGCGGGGTGAGGTGGGGGCTTGGAATTGATCCCACACCGATACCGCCATACTATATTCCGCCCTTCTCTTCTCAACTGGTGCAGTGCCACAGAACACCATCTGAGTAACGCACTGCAACACTATGATTTTTCGCCAAGGGACAGGACACATAGACCCAGCCAAGCAACAGCAACCTACGTACGAACCCCATTCTTCAAGGCGAGAAATTATTCTTTAAACCGTTTAGGCTGCGTCCGCCCTGACCCCTGGGAAAAGGAAGCCCTATAAGATCAGGGATTCCCAGTCATGGGTCCGCAGATGTTCCTGGATTAAAACTAAAGCCTTCGCCACCAGCTGTGCTGGCCAGGATTTCTGGGAGTTGTAGTCCAAGAACCTCCAGGGACCCAAAGTTTGGGAAGCACAACGGGGAAAAGCGAGCAGCTCCAGTCCTGAATCTGCAGCTGATTTACGAGATGCTTTCGGTCCCCCCCCCACCCGTTGGCGAGGAGAGCCGTTTCTCTTCACTCCATGCGTCGGGGAACCCCCCCTTACGCCCACCGCCTCCACCCCTCGGGCCGCCCCCCACGGCGAAAGGATACGAGGGACGGCGAAAGGCTGCGCAAAGGCATGGAATGCCGAGCCCCACGTAATCTGCCACGGGGCGATGTAGGTGAGCACGAAGCGCAGCTTGTATAGGAGATCCCACAGCTGAGAGGAAAGAGAGGGGGAAACATAAAACAAGGGGTCACGTCCTCAAAGGACCCCATCGTCCCAGAGGACGGGATTTCTTCTCTCCCACACCTGCTGAAGTCCTTCAGAATCAAGCAGCCGAAACGGAACGAAACACAGTGAAACAAAGGGAAATAAAATACAGTCGTGCCCCGCTTAACGATTGCCTCGCTTAACGAGGAAATCGCTTTATGATGAGGTTTTAAACGATGGTCTAAATGGGGGAATTTTGCTTAGCGATGATCGGTTCCCAGCTTCGGGAACCGATTTTCGCTTTACGAGGATCAAAACCAGCTGATCGTTGGGTTTCAAAATGGCCGCTGGCTGAAGAAAATGGCCCCCGCTGTGCTTAGGGATGGATTCCTCGCTGCACAGGCATGGAAAATGGCTGCCCCATGGAGGATCTTCACTGGACTGTGAGTTTTCAGCCCATTGGAACGCATTAACCGGGTTTTAATGGGTTTCAATGGGGTTTTTTATTTCGTTTGACGATGTTTTCGCTGTACAGCGATTTCGCTGGAACGAATTAACATTGTCAAGCGAGGCACCACTGTAAATGAAACCAAAACCACCAGCCTGAATCATATCTTCTCACTACCAAACAGGCTGGTCCCCGATCCAGGCAGCTCCTGAGATGTACTGTCTCCCTTCTATTTATGTATGAATAAATTTGCGTACATTCCCATGGATTCCTTCGTTTCAAAGAGTTACAGCCCGCTGCTCTACCCGCTATGTGACCCTGAATGCTTGGAACATTCACCCCAGTTCAGGGACGGCAAACCCTTAGCACTGCTGATGCCGCGGGACTACAACGCACATTGTCCTCGGCCACTGGGTCTCTGGAGCCCCACAACCTCTGGGGGGACCCCACAGGTTCCGGATCGCTAAGCCCCTCGAACCTTCCGGGGGAAGCTGAGGTCCGAGGGGAAGCAGCCGGCCGGTATGTCCTGAGGTCCCCCCGTCTGGCCCAAAAAGGAGACCTGACCTCCCCCCTGCCACCCCCGGGTCCCCATCATACCTTGCTGAAGAGGATGGACATGACGAAGTAGTCGGTGAGGAAGCCCTCCGAGTACTGCTTGTAGTCGAACTGGAAGAAGAGGACGGTGAACCCCAGGGTGACGTATTGGTGAGGCGGGCAGCAGAAGGAGCACCTCAACAGCTTCATCCCGGCCACGGTGAGGAGGAGGGCTCGGCAGCTGTGGGGGGGAGCACTTGGTGAACCTTAAACAAAGAAGCAATAAAATAGAAAATTTCAGGGGGGCCGTGCGGAACTGGGCCTCCGGAGCCCTGGGTTCGAATCCCTTCCCCCACCGTACGGACCAGGCAGCCGCCTCCGAGGAAGGGCGCGAGCGACACCTACTAGATGCAGATCTTGTCCTGGCGGGGACCGCTGACGGAGTGGGCGTCGATGGTCAGGGCGTTGAGCACCACGGCCGGGTAGATGAAGTATTTCTCCACGCACTGGAGCCAGGCGTAGAGCTTCTCAAACCACATCAGTTGGGCAGCACCTGAGAAATGAAAGGGAAGGGAAGGAGAAAGGAAGGA